CGCATCTCGCAAGGGCCACGTCAAGATTGTACGTTTACTACTGGCTGCTGATGCTGGCAAGAACTTGCAGGATAGGTCCGGCCAGAGCGCATTGATGCTCGCATCTCACAAGGGTAACGTCGAGATTGCACGGTGGATGCGGGTGCCTACAAGAACTTGCTGGACAGGCCAGTCAGACCGAGTCAGACCGCTCTCTTGCGCGCATCTTCCGCAGGACACGTCGAGATGGTTCGTTTGCTGCTGGGCGCTGGGGCCGAGAAGAACTTGCAGGACACGTCCGGCCGTACAGCTCTCATGCACGCATCTCGCAAGGGTCACGTCGAGATTGCACGTTTGCTGCTGGACGCTGGTGCCGACAAGGACTTGCAGGACAGGTCCGACCAGATCGCTCTGATGCACGCATTCTCCGCAGGCCACGGCGAGATTGCACTTTTGCTGCTTGATCCCGGTGCCGACACCAACTTATAGGAATGCCTGCGGCGCTACATCTCTCATGCGCGCGTACCTGCGGCTCCGCCGAAGTTGTACGTTTCCTGCTGCAGGCTGGTGCCGACACGAACTTGCAAGACTATAAGACTATAAGCACAGCGCCACCGCTCTCATGCGCGCATCTTTGAAAGGCAACGTCGAGGTTGTCGGTTTGCTTTTGGAGGCTGGTGCCGATGCAAACTTACAAAACACTTGCGGCACCACCGCTCTCATGGACGCGGCTTCGAGCGGTCAAACCGATGTAGTACGCTTGCTGCTTCAAGCCGGTGTCGACAAGAACTTGCAAGACCACAGGTACAGCGCAACGGCTCTCATATTCGCGTCTTGCAACGGTCATGTCGAGATTGTGCATTTGCTTTTGGACGCTGGTGCCGACGAAGACTTGCAGGACACGTCCGGCCAGACCGCTCTGATGCACGCATCTCGCAAGGGCCACGTCGAGATTGCACGTTTTCTGCTGGATGCTAATGCCGGCAAGAACTTGCAGGACAGGTCTGGCCGGACCGCATTGATGCACGCATCTCACAAGGGTAACGTCGAGATTGCACGTTTGCTGCTGGATGCGGGTGCCTACAAGAACTTGCCGGACAGGCACAGTCAGACCGCTCTCTTGCGCGCATCTTCCGCAGGACACGTCGAGACTGTACGCTTGCTGCTGGACGCTGGTGCTGAAAAGAACCTGCAGGACAGGTCCGGCCAGACCGCTCTCATGCACGCATGTTCCCAGGCCCACGTCCTGACTGTACGCCTGCTGCTGGATGCTGGTGCCGACATGAACTTGCAGGACACATCTCTCGCGACCGCTGTCACGCTCGCATCTTCCAAGGATCATGTCGAGAGCGTACATCTGATGCTGGACGCCGGAGCCGACAGTAACTTGCTAGACAGGCTTGGCGCAAGCGCTCGCATGTGGGCATCTTCCATCCGGATTCCATGCTTGCTGAGAGCTAAACCCTAACTCCCAAAGCCTCGAGACCAAAGTCTCAGAACCTTTACAGAAGCATCTGCCCCCCCCGCCCCCCCTCCCATCCCTCCAAGAAATCCGTAGCCCTTACAAAAAAGAACCTTCCTCAAACTCAGCCCGAAAAAGCTGCCTCCAAGGCCCCCGAAGCTTGGTGCCCCAATTAGCGCGTGAAACTTGAGAACCTTGTGATGTTCCCCCCTTATACTAGCAGTCCTTAATAGGGATGAATTAATAGTACCCTCCCCCTATTCATTTCATCCCTATTAAGGACTGTTAGTGTAAGGGGAAGCATCCCAACTTAACCCATGTGAGATTGAGGCGAGGCAGCTATGGCCTGAATGAACAAAAATCCATTCTGTGCCAGCTTCGGGTTTAGGGTTTAGGGTTGAGGGAGTTCCTGTGCAGGCTGAGACTGGGGTCGAGGGTGGGTTTATGGTTTAGCCACTTGCTGCAGGGAGAAGCTTCCAGACGTTTGAATGTTAGGACCCTTATAGGTTTATTTGGGTTTAGGATTAAGGGTCTAGGGTTTAGAGTTTAGGGTTTCGGGTTTCGGCTCTAGTGTTTAGGGCCTTTCAAGAGTAATGACCTCCAAAAATCCCTTGGGGGGCAGTGTAATGTTCAGGGTTCATGTCTTTCCGCTATTTAGGGCGGCCTGCTTCCCTAAACCCTACAAACCCTGAGCTTTTGAACCCTAAACCCTCATGAAGAGGGTCTTAAGACAGAGGTATATACTGGGCTCCATCTGGGCAGGGCATAAGGATGCTGTGCCCTCGGCTCCCTCCGCAGGGAGAAGGGGCCCTTGTGTCTCCCCCCGGAAACCCCATCAGTTGGGTTTAGGTCTTCAAAGGGTGTTTGTTTAAGTGCTTCTAAAGGCTTGTCACCTAAACCCTAAACCCTAAACCCTACACCCTAAACCCTAAACCCTAAACCCTAAACCCTAAACCTCAAACCCTACTTGTCAGGGTTTACGAGGGGTTGGAAGGGGTTGTCAGGTTTAAGGTTTAGGGGTGGGCGCAGTGCCTGAACAAGCATGTCGAACACCTCGGGAGAGCTGTCCCTAAAACCCTAAACCCTAAACCCTAAACCCTATACCCTAAACCCTAAACCCTAAACCCTCAGAACGAGGTGCCAGTGTGCCCGGAGTGCAAGGCCGCTTGCTGATGGGAGCGGTCAGGGATTTTGAAGGTTGGAGGGCTATGCCCTAAACCCTCAACCCTACCAGCACCCCCCTCCAGACTACCATTTGACCACAAAAACCGGATACATCAGTCCCCTTTGTTAAAGGGTAGTTGGGGGTGCCCAGGTAGGCAATACTTGGGCCTCAAAGCGCCTCCTATTCAGGGACTTTGGAACCCAAGTAAATAATCATGAGGTACATGGACCCCTAGGGTTAGAGTCAATCCTAACCTTCAAGATCTCGCTGTGTTGTAGAATCTTTCTGCAAGCCCGAATGCACATCGTCCGGGGGGGTTCCCTTCTAGAAAAGGAGAGTTTTGGCTTCTGGGGCGTGATCTATACTTTACAACTTTTTGCTTCAGCACCCTCCAAAAAGTACAACTAACCCCTATCTTGCCTGGAATTACAAAGGAGGAAGATTTTGCATTTTTTTTTGGCGGGGTTCTTGAGCAAATAGGAGTAAAGCCCCAGCCCCCCTGGTGCCATGTGCCCGAACATCCGCAACCCAAACCCCAAGGTTCAGGGTTTAGGGTTTAGGGTTCAGGGTTTAGGGTTTAGGGTTTAGGGTTCCCCCACTCCCCCACTCACCAACACCCAAAGACGCCTCGTGCACTAACAATTTGCCGTTCAGGCGGGCTTCCTGAAGCCAGACGGCGCCCGGGAGCCTGGTCACCTCAACCCACACCTGCCCCAGCATTTAGGGTTTAGGGTTTAGGGTTTAGGGTTTAGGGTTTAGGGTTTAGGGCTAAGATAGGGGGCCTTCATAATTAGAAATGGGTTTTGGGGGAGGGCTTCTGGTATAATTATAAGGGACCAGGTGGGAATACGATTAGTAATGATTCCGACCCCTACATTATAGGGCTTCCAGGTTTTACAGGGGCTCATTGCTGTTTAGAGTTTCCTGCACCCCCCAACTACCCTTTCGTAAAGGGGACTTATATACCCTACTATTGTGGTTCAAGGGTAGTTGGGGGGGTGCTGGTGACAGGGCTTATAGAGTTTTTTGGGGCTCATAGGACCTCTGGTGTGCGACCAAGAGCAGTTTGAGGTTGTTTGCAGAGGATGGGTATGCTGTGCCTCCCGAAGAGGTAGGGTGGAGGGTGTGTTGGTATTAGGGTTTAGTTTGTAGGGTTTAGGGTTTAAGGTTCACGGACTGCAGTCAAAGCCCTTAATCTTACTTTTGCGTGGTTGCCTGACACTTTCTGTTGGGCTGCCACCAGAGTCTTTCGACAAGTGGTTCTTGCCAACAGAACTCCCGAGATGACTCAAACGAGTTCAGAGGCCACATCCGGTTTAGGGTTTAGGGTTTAGGGTTTAGGGTTTAGGGTTTAGGGTTTAGGCTTTAAGCTGCTACAAGCTCGAGATGGCGAGAACCCTAAACCCTAAGCCAATTCTTGTCTCCTCTGCGCAGCATGAGCTGCCAATGTTGCCCATGTATCTCACGGCAGAAGATGTGAGGAGCAAAGGGGTTTATGTAGGGTTTGTAGAATTATGTACTTTCAAAGGCTTGAGAGCCCTTAGAGGCTTAGAGGGCTTGCAGGGCTTTAGGGTTCACAGCGTTTGTATGGGTGCATGGGGCTTGCTTGCAGGGGCGTAGAGAGTTAAGGGGTCAAGGTTACCACGTGGTAGGTTTAAGGGTTCAGTGTTTAGGGCTTGCATGGGGTTTTCGGGTTTCGGCCCTTGTTTTGCCCTTTTCTCCCTTTTAGGGTACATCCTCAGGGGTGCGAGCTTTCATACCTTCATCCTGCAAAAAGGACACCCTAGAGGCCCTAAACCCGAACCCGCGCGACATACCAGGTCTACTTCGGAGAGGCGGGAGCCAAACTGCTTGAGAACTCACCGGGGTGGCCGGAGAAGAAGGTTTTTTTCGGGGTTGAGGTGTTCCTCGGACTCTAGATTCTCCTGCAGTTTTGTAGTAACTGCCCCTTAATCCCCAAAACCGCAAACCCTAAACTCTAAACCCTAAAGCCTAAACCCTAAAGTAGGCATAATCATAAAACTTTAGGCAAAGAGAGTTCCAGGTAGGGCCTTGAAGGTTTCAGGGTTCAGGCGTCAGGGTTTTAGAGGGAAACCCGAAGTCCATCTAGTGTTTGGGGTTTAGGGTTTAGGGGGTAGGGTTTAGGGTTTAGGGTTTAGGGTTTAGGGTTTAGGGTTTAGGGTTTAGGGTTTAGGGTTTAGGGTTTAGGGTTTAGTGATCGTGTTTCGAGGTGCTACGGCCAAATGGCCCATGCACAAGGATGACACGCACAACTCGAGATATCTTGGCAGCATGAGTGGCCCAAACCTGTTCTGTGAGAATGTAGGCCCCTAGCCATAATATTTCACTATGGTAGCGGTGTAAGTGAAAGACGACGTGCGAGAAAGCTGAGAGATGGATCCGTTAGATCCATCGGCAGCTGCTACTGCTGCTGCTGCACCGAGTGTAGCTCAGTTTTTGCAGCAAGCGGGCATCACATCGCAAGAAGAAGTGGCCAATCGTTTGTTGGCCATGCAGCAGCAGATAGACAGTCAGGCGCAACAGCAGCAGCAATCGCAAGTGCAGCTTCAAGAAGCGGTTGTCATGATGCAGACCTTGCAAGGTCAGCTCAGTGATGCTGTGTCCAGGGTTCAAGCGGCAGAACAAGAGAGGAGAGATGCATTGAGGGTTGCAGCAGCAGCAGTAGGCAGCGACGCTGGCAGTTTTCAAGGAGGCATCGTGGACAGCAAGGGTGTTGGTCAGCCGTTCAAGTACAACGGTGGGGCCGATCAAGACTTCAGCGAATGGAGTCACAAAGTCACCACGTACCTGAAGGCCAAGTTCGGCTTCGAAGTAGAAAAGGCTTTGAAGTGGGCAGTACAGCAGCGGAAGACCATTGTGGAGCGCCTTCCAGGAGGGGCGCTTACAAGCACAGATGGCCGCCAGATTGCGTTTGATCCTGTCTACGGAGAGCATGCGGATGAAATAGACCGCGTGCCCAATCTTTCCAGGACCGTCGTTGGCATCTACACGTACCTGATCGCCTTTACAACAGGGGACTCCAATAAGATTGTGCGCAACGCGGGGTCCGATGCTGGGTTAGAGGCCTGGCGAAGGCTCCACAACGAGTACGACCCAACCTCAGCGATGAGACGTGTCACGATTCTGGGCTTGGTTCAGAATCCTCCCAAATGTGAGAAGATTGAGAACTTAGGCTCCGCGCTTGAGGATTGGTTGGCCAAGAAGCGCCAATACGAGGAGTTCACAGACCAGCGAGGAAGGCCGTGTCGCATTTCAGACGACTCCCTCATGGCAGCCATGTACAAGCTTATGCCCACAGCGTTGGAGCAGCAGGTAATGTTCCATTCGGACGAGTACGACAGCTTCGAAGATCTCTATGATCGCTTGGTGGCCTACGCGTCAACAAAGCACTCTCTCAAGATGACAGACAAGCCCGTGGGATCCAGAAAGGGCGATACCTCAGCACCAATGGATGTTGATGCTCTTGTCCAAAAGGGCAAGGGGTCGTTCAAAGGCAAGTGCAACAACTGCGGTCGGCCCGGCCACAAAGCAGCTGATTGCCGCGCTCAGGGAGGAGCGGGCGCAGGCAAGAACAAGTCCTCAGCATCTCAGGTCCAGTGTTTCGCCTGTGGCCGCCGTGGGCACTACAGTTGGGAGTGCAGCAACAGCAAAGGGAAAGGAGCAGGGGCAGGAAAGGGCTATGAGAAAGGAAGCGGCAAAGGAGGCAAGGACAAAGCAAAAGGAAAAGGAAAGAAAGGCAAAGGCAAGGGGAAGAAAGGAGGCTTCAGCGCAGTGGAGTGGGAGGAGCAGGAAGGATGGGAGCAGGAAGGATGGGATGGCTGGTGGTCCTCATCGTGGAGTGAACAGCCGGCGTCCGAACCCCCTGCCAAGGCCGACTCGCATCCGGGTGGCATTGGCAGCTTGGACTTGAACCACCTCGAGTCCCTTGCAGAGAGCGCGACGAAGGTAAGCTGCAGCAGCATGGAGTCTTACAAGGTCCATTGGAAAGGCTCAGAGTGGTTGAAGCTCAACTACGACTCAGGCGCGGCTACCACTGCCATCCCGGATGAGCTCATCGAAGGGCCTTTGGAGGCTCGTGGAGAGTTCATCGTTGCATCCGGCGAAGAGATCCCCAACTACGGTCGCTTTAGAGTCCCGGCCGTCGACGCCAACGGCAAGCGGAGAAGTTTTGCAGCCTATGCCACGAAGGTTCACAAGCCACTCGGTTCCGCTGCCGAGTTCAGCAGCAGCCATGACTGTGTGTTGTGGGCCGAGGGTGGCTCTCTCATTCCCAAGAACAGCGCGCTGGCAATTGGACTTCGCAAAGAGTACTATCGTTTGAAGGAGATCCATGGTGAATGCGATGAACTCCCGCTCTACCGCGAGGGCAACTTGTACAACATGTACCTGAAGCAAGATGGTGTGCCTGAGCAGCTAAGTCCTTTGCAGGAAGTGCCTTCCTCGTCCAGGGCCTCGGCGGTGGACGGTCGTCGGTCGGGAAACGCCCGGCAGGCGAAGGAGCTGTAAGGCCGAACGGAGAACAGAGTGCACAGGAGCCTTCTGATGAAGACCATTGGAAGGTAGAAGGTGGCAACAAGCTAGTTCGATACCATGTTTCACTGCGGCGTTGCCTTTTCTCGCCGCACCAAGCAAACAACATCCCGGTGGACAAGGATCTCATTTTGGGGTCCAGAACGACAGAAGCGATCTTTGAAGACGGTTCAGTTGAAACTGTTGAGGACGATTGGACAGTACGAAGAACCGCCAACAAGCGTCTCAAAGCACAGTGGTTCGGACGCACAGTTTTTGCTCTTGGAGGAGAGCAGGCCACAGCTGCTGCAGCGCCTGAGAGGAAGGAGGTCCGAGGGTGGCCAGACGAGGAAGAGGAGCCAGGCGCAGCAAGAGAGGCTGCGGACAGCGAGCCGCAAGAGGAGTCAGAGGAGTTTCGCAAAAGCAGAGCTGCAGCAGAACCAACGCCCGAGCAAAGAGAGAATCATTTCTTGGAGAATCACGCTGTGTATCGCCCGTGGTGCGAAGTGTGTGTGAAGAGCCGCGGGCTTGGAACCCAACATAGGAGGGCATTGAAGAAGGAGGCCGTCGAAAGCTCAGAAGGCCCACGCATCTTTTCTGACTTCTTCTTCATGTCTACAGATGAGGACAGCGTTCCCATGCTGGCCCTGAAGTTCAGTCGTTCGAAGAGGATTGCAGCCACAGCATTGCCTCGAAAGGGCATCTCAGAGCTGGGTTGCAAGTTCATGTCCAACTTCATCAAGATGACAGGAGTTAAGCGCTTCGTCAATTTTTCTGATGGGGAGCCAGCCATGAAGGCTCTGAAAGAGGAGTCTGCAAGGAAGGTGGCTGATGTAGAAGCTATTTCGCGTGAGTGTCCTGTGGGTGATCATCAGAAGAATGGTGAAATAGAGTCTGGCGTTCGAGAGCTGAAGCGTCAGATGCGAGCAGTGAGGATGAGTCTGGAAGGTCGCCTTGGGCGGGCTTTAGCAGACGACGATCCTCTTTTGATGTGGATCCCCACCTTTGCGGGTGATTGTATTGCATTCCATCGCAGGGGTGCAGATGGCAAGACGCCGTGGGAGCGAGAGACAGGTCGAAAGCGGCGCCGTCCTTGTTTGGAGTTTGGCGAGAAAGTCATGATGAAGGCGGCTTACGACAGAAGCAGCGGTCCAAAGAGAGACTGGCAGGCGAGGATGATACCTGTTAGGTATGTTGGGCATCATGCACGGACTGGCGCGGTCATGGGTCTCACCTCGGAAGGCGTGAAGTTTGGCACAGGTGTCAGCAGACTGGCAGCTTCAGAACGCTGGAGCACTGAGGGTCTTGAGGAGCTTCGTGGGCTGCCTTGGGATCTGCAGCCACGTCTGCGAGAGGCGCGGGCGGTCGCCGATGCAGAAGGTGTTTCAGTTCCTCGCTTTCCACACCTTCCGGCTGGGAGCCCAGCACCGCGTTCATTTTACGTGATGCGCGAGGATGTGAAGCCAGAGAAGTATGGCTACACTCGAGGATGCAAATCCTGTGACAACGTGATGAGGACTGGGCAAAGCGACGTGGCGCACAACAGTGAATGCCGAGAGCGAGTGTTTAGGCTTATGGAGCGTGATGAAAGTGTTCGCGTCAAAGCGTACCACAACAGAGTCCAGGAGGCAGAAGCAAAGCAGCAGCCGCAGATGCCGCAGCAGCAAGCAGCAGCAGCCACTTCAGAAGAGCAGCAGCTCGATAGCTCGACAAAGGACGCTGGGAGCAGGAAACGAGAGTCTGCTGCAAGTGAGGAGGTCATTGAGTCTCCAAGCAAACGTCCTGTGCCTGCTTCGCAGTGGGAGCAGGAGGGGCATGGCAGGTATCGCAAGCGTCAGGCCGAGCTGCCTGCCGAGGTTCTCCAGGCCAGAGCTTCGGAAGCATTGCCTTCGGAAGTCCGAACAGAACCAACTGCAGCTGAGATGGCAACTGAGACTTCTGGGCCAACTCCAGCCGAGTCGGGCCCAGTTTCGGTGGAAGAGTTTTTGAAAGAAGAAGCTGTAGACATCGACTCGGTGGTTGCTTATGAGGCCATGGGTTCTGCAGTTGAGCTGGGCGAGCAGAAGAACCAGCTCATCGCTGCAGCTTCGGAGCAAGTACGCAAAGTGTATGAGCATGAAGGTATTTCTTTGAGTTCGAAAGAGGTCCTGCAGATCGCGGCTCTCCAAGTTGGGATTGCTGGTTGCCGGGTTCGCGAGGTTTTCTCTCGCGATGGCCTTTCTCGAGCAGCTCCGCATTTTGGGTTGAGACCAGGCTTTGTGCTAGACCTCACAGGGCCGCGTGTTGGAGGACCCAACGCGGGCAAACAGTGGTGCTTGGACAAGGATGAGGATGCAGCAGAGCTGCAGCAGTTGATCTCGGATGAGTGCCCTGCGCTGCTCACAGGCAGTTCTAGGCATGATCTGTCTCGGCTACTTGGCGTGCGACAGAACGCAGTAGGGCAAGAGCAGGCTGCATTGAGGACAGATAAGGCGCAGAAGCAGTTCAGGGCTTGTGTGAAGCTTTACCGGAAGCAGCATGAAGAGCAGAGGTCCTTCTTGCACGAGCATCCGGCTGGCGCAACAAGCTGGCAGGATCAAGACATGTTGGCGTTGCAAAGTCTGCCAGGCGTGTACACAGTGGAAGGGCCGACGTGCTACTGGAATCGCTCATGCAAGCCTGGAGCCTCTCAGTTTGGCAGCCTCACAAAGAAGAATCGTTTTTGCGGCATCTCCAGATCCAAGACCAAGTTCGTCACGAACTCCCGTTGCTTAGCCGAGGCTTTGAAGCGAGCTTGCTGTGACTCACTTGAGGTGCCGTGGCAAAGACAGCTGGAGTTTGCTGAAGGCCTTGTGGGCCTCAGCATGTCCGGCCATCCCAAGATGGTGTGTACAGTGCTCACAGGTCTGCGGGAGCAAATGCGGCAGGATGGACACCTCAGCGACTTGGATTTCAAGTACGGGGGTCCGGTTCCCTCGCAGCCTACCTTTGAGGCTGACAATGAGGCTCTCCAGGAAGATTACAGCAAGTTCTTTGACAACATCAGTGGCGAGGAGTTGCCCCCAGATCTGGTGACGAAAGCAAGACAGGAAGAGATCTCATGGGTTCGTTCGATCAATCTCTATGACAAGGTCCCAAGAGCGGAAGCAGAGAGCAGAGGCATCAGACCTCTGCCCATACGATGGGTGGATGTCAACAAAGGCGACCGTGCGAACTACAATGTTCGCAGTCGTCTTGTGGGAAAGGAGTTGAAGGCTAAGACTAAGCATGCTTTGCTAGCTCACGAATTGTTTAGCGCCATGCCGCCATGGGAAATGGTCAAGTCACTCCTTTCGCTTCTGGTCAGTGATGGCGTTTCTTCCGAGTCCTTGGTTCTAGGCGTGTTTGACATCAGTCGGGCCCATTTTATGGCTCCTGCAACTCGAGAGCTGTACGTGGAAATCCCGGATGAAGACAGAGGTCCCGGCGAAGAGAACCTTATAGGCAGACTGAATCGTAGCATGTATGGTTTCCGGGATGCTTCGCACAACTGGATGGAGGACTGGCAAGACTTGCTTCAAGAAGAGGGCTACAAGATTGGAGTTGCTAATCCTGCACTGTTCTGGAATCAGGCACTGTCGAGTCGTGGAGCAGTTCACGGCGACGACTTTTATGTTCTGGGAACGGTTAGTGCAGTCGATCGTATGGCTGTAGCTTTGAAGTCCCGCTACTCAGTGCGTGAGAGCCACAGGCTTGGCTTCGGCGAAGGTTGCACGCGGCATGCTACAATCTTGAACAGGGTCGTGAGCTTGGGAGAACTCAATGGCAGGCGCTATGTCCAGATCGAGCCGGACAAGCGTCATGTTGAGCTCATCGTGTCTTCGCTAGGGTTAGACAAGAGCAACACGAAAAGTGTAACTACACCGTCTGTCAAGCCCTCGGATGCTGAAGCTGCACAGTTTCAGCATGGCCCCAAGCTGTCTGCAAGTGAGACGTCACTGTACCGGTCGTGTGTCATGAGAGCCAGTTTCCTGAGCCAGGATCGTGCTGATCTGGGTGAGTCCGTGAAAGCCCTCGCTCAAGGCATGGCAGCGCCCACTCGTGCACACCTGCAAGCTTTGAAGCGCTTAGGGCGATTCTTGTTGCATCGCCCCACTGTTGCAGTCAGATTCTGGCAGCAAGCTTTCTGCCCTACTATCACTTGTATGGTGGATTCAGACCACGCTGCAGATAGAGTAACTCGCAAGTCAACTACGGGCATGGTGGTTCGTATCGGTGCTCACACCATCAAGTCCACATCTAATCTCCAGACATCGGTGGGATTGAATGTTTCAGAGGCTGAATACTATGCGCTCGTCCATGGGGCTGCGCATGGTTTAGGCTTGCGCTCCTATTTCGCTGATCTGGGGCTCGAGATGGACGTGGTCATTCAAAGCGATTCAAATGCCGCTCGAGCTTTTGCTTCGCGCAGAGGTTTAGGCAAGCAGCGACATGTCATGACTCGTTATCTTTGGCTTCAAGAACGCGTTCGATGCAAGCATTTACAGATCGTAAAGATCCATACAGACGACAACTGCTCGGACATACTTACGAAGAGTGTGTCGCATGGAACTCTTGAGAAGCACATGAAAAGCATGGGCTTCTTGGTTGTGGAAGCGTCAATGTTTCACAAGTCAACCAAGGTGTAAGGCAAACACCTGCGACTATGCATGTCAGGAGTGCCCTGGAACCAGGCTCCGCTACACCTCGACGTTACTGTGCCCGAATACGCGGGCCCAGCAACGAGGAGGGGTGATCGTGTTTCGAGGTGCTACGGCCAAATGGCCCATGCACAAGGATGACACGCACAACTCGAGATATCTTGGCAGCATGAGTGGCCCAAACCTGTTCTGTGAGAATGTAGGCCCCTAGCCATAATATTTCACTATTTAGGGTTTAGGGTTTAGGGTTTAGGGTTTAGGGTTACCTTCCTGAATCCGATAAAGCCTTACGACCTTCCGCGGAGGATCCTCCTGCCATCTTAAGAGCCCCCAAGAATCCTACAAGAGGCATTCTAGCAATGGCCTACCAAAATGTCGGGTTTGGGTTGTTAAGGTTTGAAGGTGCGCTTGGGAAGGCTTTCCATTCCAGCCCGTTATTTGGGGGTGCTCGCAAATATGGGCCCCCTACGTCCACTTCTTGGAGGTTCATGGGTACATTAGGTAATTCGGGCACTTGGAACCCTACTTCTCGCATGCGCCCATGAAACTCTTAGTTGCCCCCCCGCCCTCCGTGCAAACCTTAAACCCTAAACCCCTCTCTTCCCTCCCCTCCCCCTGTTAAGCACGCATGAGCTTTAGGCAAGAGTAAAGCAGCCGTGGATTCCCCCTTAGCACTCCTTCGTGGGAGTTGGGGTATCTACAAGCACAAAACCCTTGAACATGTCCCTACTCTGGGACCCTGAAGCCCTAAACCCCCGTACTCTAAGCTAAGCCCCCCTAAGCCCCAAACACCAAACCGGAAAACCCTAAACCCCAAACCCTAAACCCTAAACCCCCAACCCTGAGCCTCCTCCCTACTCATGTGCAGTCGCTGGACAAGCGGATCCTGCAGAAAGCCATCCAGCAGTCCATCAACTCGAAAGTCGTTCCCCGGAGCTGAAGTTTACAATCATCCAAGGGCTCTTAAAGCCCTATAAACCCTAAACCCTAAACCCGAATTAAGGGCTTGGGCCGAAAGGCTGGGGTCTTGAGGGTTTAGGGTCTCCACCCATGGGGGGGGGGGGGGGGGGAGGGGCTTATTGGGATTTTGGGGTTTAGGGCTATCTCTCAACTGTTACAAATAACCCTAAACTAAACCCTAAGTCCTACACCCTGCCGGGGAAATAGGGGTTGGTTTCGGTAGTTCGGGGTCGAATTTCGAGGGTATAGTACAGCAGCAGGGTGCGCCATACCCCTACACCCTAAACCCAAAACCCTATAAACCCAAAACCCCTAAACCCAAAACCCTATAAACCCTAAACCCTCAACCCCAACCCGAAAGCCTCTTCCCTGCGAGGTTGCGGGTTTAGAGTTGGGGTTCAGAGGGCTTTGGGATTGGGGGGTGTAAAGGGCTCGGGGGGGATGTTCGCGGAAGGAAGCTCCTTTCGGGTACCTCCCCCCCCTCAACACCCTCAGAGGTTTATTGTTTAGGGTTTGGGGTACCAGTAAACCCGCCAAACCCCTAAACCCTGAACCACCTGAAATCCCTAAGCCCCGAAAAGCCTCATCTCCCAGCGGAGGTGATGATGATTGGCACGAGGGGCGAGGTGGATCCAGCTGCAAAGCTACCACTCATGGCCAAGAGCCCGCACCTGAGTGGGATTAGGGTTTAGGGGTTTAGGGGCTTAGGGGTTTAGGGGCCTCGGGGTTTAGGGGTTTAGGGGTTTCGGGGTTTCGGGTTTGGGGGATTTTGCTGTGGGTGGCGCAGGGGTGAGGGGGTTTGATTTTTTTTTGGGGGGGGGGGGGGGGGGGGGGGGCGACGAAACCCTAAACCCAAACCCCTTTAAGCTTTCGTTCGGGTTCGGGTTTTATGGTCAGTTCAGGTGCGTCTAGCGTTTACTTCCTTCAACAATTAGGACATTTGGTGTTTCCCTACGCTGTAGTCAGGAAACTGCAAAGCGCAGGGAGCTTAGGGTTTAGGGTTAGCGGTAGAGATGGCTACGGCGGGCTCGTGTGCGCGTGTAAACTAGGGTCGCATCTCTGCCACCTTTCTACAACAGGGGTCCTTCTGTGTTTTTCTGCGCGCCTAGACTCCATGCTGTCTGTGATTTGTGAAATATCAGAGATCGAACACCTATTCAGATACACATAGAGACATAGAGGCACGCAAGAATACGTGGCAAGGCCTCCAAACTCATTCCCCTCAGATACAGCGGCCCTATCCCCTGAGAGTCTCTAATGAGAACTATCGGGAGCTTACAACCCTGGCTGCTGAGATGAGAACAAGGCCAAGATCATCGAGGCGGGTCGCATGTTTGGGTTTATAAACCTGGAGCAGGGCATATACCACTGTTCTGGGTGAGTGTACATAAGGTTCCTTTTTAATATTGGTGAGTGTACATATTTGGTGTTCTTTTAGGGGGTACGAGAAATATAAACCCTACTTCACCTAAACCCTAAACCCTAAGCCCTAAGCAAAACCCCTAAACCCTAAACCCTAAACCCTAAACCCTAAACCCAAGTGTGCATCATGTGAGAGAGTTTGCCGTAGAAGAGGCCAGAAGCTCCACGTGCCCGTGCGGTATAGGGACCTGCTGCTTTGGGCAAGGAGTTTAGGGTTTAGGGTTTAGGGTTTAGGGTTTAGGGTTTAGGGAACCGCTCACAAAAAAAGGTTTTCCTTGTGGAAGGGCAATTTAGGGATCATTGTCGGTTGTTGTTTGGGGGGGTTCTTATGCGAAAAGTAGACTCAGGGTCTTGGAAGATTTGGGGAGTTAAGGGAGTTTAGGGGTTAGGGTTTAGGGTTTCGGGTTGGGGCTTATACGCTGTTAAAGTTAGAAGGTTTGGGGCATCAAGATCCCGCAACGCAGGTGAACATCGGCCCTACCCGCCTCAGCAAGCACGCGGACATCGTCCTGCGAGCGCCCGCCTTATTGACGCAGTGCGATTTGTTGTTCAGGGTGTAGGGTTTAGGGTTTAGGGTTTAGGGTTTAGGTTCTGCAGGGTTCAGAGGTTCTAAGGTCGTGGTCCTAAACCATACTAGGATGCCCAGTAGTGGTTTAGGTTCCCTTATAAACCCCTTTAAGCAAAAAAGGGGCACCCTTTTTAAGCCTAGGTTACTGGGCAGCCTAGCATATAAGGCCTAAGCCCTATAGACCCTGAACCTCTGAACCCCTAAACCCTACACCCTACAACCCTCAACTCTGAAGGGCTTTCAGGATGGGAAGGTCGCGCCCTTAAGGTTCGGGGTTTAAGTAAGAGTCCGGGTTTAGGGTTGAGGGTCGTTTAGGGTTTAGGGTTTGGGGTTTAGGGTTTAGGGTTTAGGGTTTAGGGTTTAGGGTTTAGGGTTAAGCCCTATAACGCTGCCCCGGACCCTGAGCAGGGTAAGCCCTCAACCCCTAACCCGCGAGCCCCAGAACCCCCGAAGCCCCCTTAAAACTACATGAGTCACCGTTTGCAGCCGTATAGTGGCCCAGGGTTTAGGGTTTAGGGTTTAGGGTTTAGGGTTTAGGGTTTAGGATTGAGGGTTTAGGGTTTAGGGTTTAGAGTTTCGGGACCCCATGAGCTTATCCGAATGCTTGACGAACCCTCTACAGGGTGGGGCCCCCTTATTATACTAACTGTAGTTAAGGGACTTATAACCTAACTTAGGGTCCTTATAACCCAATTTAGGGCCCTTATAACTCTACTTATAACTAGGGGGCCCCACCCTGTAGAGACCCTCGGCAGAGGCTTGTGGGTCTGCAGCATCTCTTGGTGTTCAGGCTTAGGGCCTTGAGAGCTTTTGAGGGTTTAGGGTTTAGGGCCTTTGAGGGCTTAATTGAGGGTTTAGGGTTCAGGGCCTTTAGGGCTTATTTGAGGGTTTTAAACCCTAAAGTAGGGTTTAGGGACTTTGGGGCTTATTGCGGGTTTAGGGCCTTTAGGGCTTGTTAGGGTGGGTTTTGGGTTTGGGCCAGGGTGCTTCCTACGCGAAACCCCAACCCCAGAGTACAGCCGAAGCCTAAACCTCCTGGATCCCCTCACCGCCTAGCCCTTGGGTTTAGGGTTTAGGGTTTAGGGTTTAGGGTTTAGGGTTTAGGGTTTAGGGTTTAGGGTTTAGGGTTTAGGGTTTAGGGTTTAGGGTTTAGGGGTTAGGGTCTACACCCTGAACTCCACCTTGAAACTCTAAACTCTTGAAGTCCTAAACCCTGAACCCTACACCCGAAACCCTAAGCTCTTGAAGTCCTAAACCCTAAACCCCGAATCGAGGGCGCAGCCGGCTCCGTGCTGCCTAAGCTGCAGAGGCAGGGTAGGGTTTAGGGTTTAGGGTTTAGGGCTTAGGGTTTACGGTGTACGGTTTACGGTTTACGGTTTAGGGTTAGTAATCAGGGTTTAGGGTTTAGGTTTAGGCCTTCCTGGGCTTGGGCGTGTTCCAATGTGGTGGATTTATTTCTCAGTGTTTCTAGGTAACTTGGATTTCAAGATTGTAGGGTTCAGGGTTTAGGGTTGAGGTTAGGGTTAGTCCATCCTCTTTTTGCTTGGCACTAAGGACCCTCGGAGTCAAAATTGAATATCCAAAGCTGTGGCTTCAAGGCTCAAGGGTTTGGGGTTCAGGGTTTAGGGTTCTGGGCTCAGGGTTTAGGGTTTAGGGTTTAGGGGTTAGGGGTTTAGGGTTTAGGGTTCAGGGGCTCAGGATTTCGAGCTCAGAGGGTGCGTTTCGCTTCGTCAGGATTATCTGAACCCCTTTGAAACCCCATCGGCTTGCCCCAGCAGAGCAAAGCCCCGGCTAACCCTAAACAGGCCCTAAACCCTGAACCCTGAACCCTGAACCCTTACTCTAAGCCCGAAAGCGCTTGATTTCCTGGGCCGCAGGGCCCAGGGTTTCGGGTTGTTCGATGCTATTAGTAGATTGTTACTCTCATTCCACGGGGCCCTGTGAAATCCCGTTTAGGGTTTAGGGTTTAGGGTTGTGATCCCCGGATTCCAGGCTGGTGGCGGAGCATCCGCGGCGAGCAGAGTTTGAGCAGATGCGCGAGCGTCAGCGTAAGCTCGTGAAGAAGGTGGTGTGGAAAAAGAGGCACGAGAAAAAAGGCACTAAACCCCTGTCGTCAAATTGGTATCACTTTAACACCCTGAACACGAAACCCTGAACCCTAAACCCTATATAGACCCTAAACCCTATAACCCTATAACCCTATAACCCTATAACCCTATGACCCTATGACCCTATAACCCTATAACCCTATAACCCTATAACCCTATAACCCTAAACCCTAAGCAGGCCTTGGCTTGTTTCGAAAGCAATGCTGTGCTGTCCCACCTTGCGGTGAAGATTCGGGCTGGGGGACTGGTTTACGTAGTGTTTATACAGGGGTTTGGGGTCCCCCTCCCCCCACTCTGGGAAGTTGGGCGCGTCAGGACTATAGTAGGCCTAGAGTAGGAATCCAGGTACCCTGGTCCGCAAGCAGAATCCTAGCTCCCTTCTTCAGTTCCCACCGTATCTCTAGTTGCCTCAGGAATTGTGTTTTATCTTTGTTCGTATAAACCCTAAACCCTAAACCCTAAACCGTCCTTGACACCAAGGGCTGCGACGATGTGGGTGCTCCTGCTGAGTGGCACCTTCCTTGACAGTCCATCCGCCGGGGCCCCAGGGTTTAGGGTTTAGGGTTTAGGGTTTAGGGTGTAGGGTTTAGGGTTTAGGGTTTAGGGTTTAGGGTTTAGGGTTAGGGTTTAGAGTTTAGGGTTTAGGGTTTATGGTTCAGGGTTTAGGGTTTAGGGTTTAGGGTTGCGCAGGGGGTCCATGCGTAGTACCGTCGCGGAAGCAAGGTTCACCCGAATCGATGCTCTGACAAGGTTCTCATGTGAAGCAGGGTTTATATCACTGATTTTGGTGAGTGTATTTAAGGTTTCTTTTAATATTGGTGAGTGTATATACCGGGTGTCCTTTCGGGGGTACAAGAAATATATACCCTACTTCATGTACGTACCGAAACCCTGAATCCCGGAATCCTGCTACTTTTTTGCTTGGTAGCCCAGTGGTACCCTTTTCCCTCTTTTGGGGTTCAAGGTTCCCTGCATTATAAAGTAACCAGCCCCAAAAAGGGTGCCCTTATTATAATATGGTTACTGGGCTACTGATTTTGGGTGTTTCCGAGAGTAGGGGTACCTTGTTGGGGTCCTAAACCCTAAACCCTAAACCCTAAACCCTAAACCCTAAACCCTAAACCCTAAACCCTAAACCCTAAACCCTAAACCCTAAACCCTAAACCCTAAACCCTAAACCTACTATTCTTCCATCGTTGGACCTTTTCTGGTATAAGCAGTTGGGAGTCACACTAGTGCCCGCTTTTGGGGCCCTTACATGCGTGCGCCCCTTCTATAAATTGATGTTCCGAACATCAAGTTAGAAAATATTCTATATATGTAGAGAGAGTACTATCATCTTTTTAGAACACTTTTCATATGCTTCATCAGACTTGTGCCGAGCGCCTTTTCCATAATCAAGGCCTTGCATCATGTACTATGGGAACTCCTTCACGGGAAATTACCTCAGGTCCTCAAACATCCTCAAACACTAAATCTCAAACCCTGAAACCCTGAAACTCTACGGCCTTATATAGCCCTAAAGGCCCAAAGCCCTAAAACTGCTGCCTGACCGGTAAGCCCTGCGCCCTGTCCAGCACACCGTCACCCTGTAAGCCGTCCCGGGAATGAAGCGTCCTGGGACCCGCACAGTGGAAGCATGGCGAACGTCCGCGTTATCGGATAACGCAGGACCTTTCCCTAAACCCTTAACCCTAAACCCCTTTCCCTGCACTCGAAACCTTGAATCGCTGTCATTGTGTGAGGTGGCGCTGAACGAAGCCGATGGCCCAGTTCAGAGACTTGCTGTACGCCCCAAGAAATCAGCGTTTTGGATGTCCGGGTGTGCCAAGGGAACCCTAAGCCCTAAAGACCCTGTATAAATTTCCGGCCGATTAACTGTTTTAGTTGGCAAACTCGGGCACCCCAAAGGGCCCCGCACTATAATAGGTGCCTCAATTAGTGACCGTAGCTTAGGGCATAGGGAATTTGGAGTTTAGGGTCAAGGGTTTAGGGTGCGTTCTGGGTTGGTTTTGATGTTTGCCCGACCTTGTGCTACAACCTTTTTAACCTTTTTGCAGGTTGCTTAAGAGTCCCACAAGAGGGGTGCTTTTTTTCACGAGAAGCTGATAACCAAAGCCATTTAAGCAGTAGCCTTTGGGTTCCTAAGCTACATAATACATAAACCCTCGAGGCTTTGAACCGAAAGGGGCCCCGAACCTCCCTCGCCCGTTTAGGGTTTAGGGTGTTGGTTCATGGTTTAGGGTTTAGGGTTTAGGGTCGGTTTAGGCTGAGAACATGTCAACACACACTGAACACATGAAACTCTCCACCCCCCTCCCCCCTCCCCCCCCCCCCCCCCCCCCCCCCCTTCCCAAAAGAGACTGCAATGTCCCTCAGTCCATTTGACATATCCAGGGGGCTTCAGGCAGAACCCTGCGTACCTATGAACCTCCATGAAACGTTTCGGGACCCTAAACCCCAAACCCCAAAACCCCAAACCCCAAACCCTAAACCCTAAACCCTAAACCCTAACCCCTAAACCCCTAAACCCCAAGTCCAGGTGGGAGCCAGCAGTGGGCTGCTGGTGGCGCTCTTCCTGATCTTCATCTTCCTGAGCCACATGATGGTGGGGAGGGCTCAGTTTCAGGGTGTTTAGGGTTTAGGGTTTAGGGTTTAGGGTTTAGGGTTTAGGGTTTAGGGCTTCTGGGGCTCAGTTTTAGACTGTTCAGTCTTTAGTGTTTAGGGTTCAGGGTTTAGGGTTATAGGGTTTAGGGTTGCGAAATCTTCTTCCCACACATCAAGATAGCAACCCTGTCAGACCTAACCCGCAACAGGTCCTGAACATGCTCATTGGCATCCTCTGCGACGTGGTGCACCAGGCAGGGCCCACCCTTCTCTTACTTCTCCAACAGCTGAACTTTAAGATTTTTGGGTTCCCTTTTTTAGCAGGAATAATAAAGTTTAACCTTTTTTCCCCTTGGTTATTGGAGAAGTAAGCTTCTGCACCTTAGAATGCCGCAAGGGTTCAGGGTGTGGGGCTCATCAGGGTTTAGGGTTTTGGGTTTTGGGTGTAGTAGGGTTGGAGGTTCAGGGGTACTTCTAAGTAAGGTTATAAGTAGGGTAGGTTAAGAAAAAAACATCCCCAACCTTCCCCAGCCTTTTAAACCGGTGCCCTAAATCCTTGAGACAATGGACGTTTTCTTTGGCTTCGAAGCCGGCGGTGCCCTTGCTCCCTTGTAAGTTGCTTTGGGAGGGGCTTCGGAAGCCAACCCCACACCCCTAGTATAGGCCTCAGTAATTAGCATAGGGTTTTTTTTGGGGGGGGGGGGGGGGTTCTTGTAGTGTGCTTATCAAGGTGCTATATGGAAACACATTGGGGGGGGGAGGGGGGGCTTCGAGCTCCGCGGGGCGGCTATTCTGCTGTCAGCCCGAAACCCTAAACCCTAAACCCTAAACCCTGTCAGCACAAGCCGGCCTTCTGCACTGTGCGGCAGCGGCGCTGCAGAGACAGTTTGTTTCTGGAGTGGATTTGAATGTTTCCGAAAACATAGGGTTTAGGGTTTAGGGCCTTTAGGGTTTAGGCTTTAGGCTTAGGGGTAGGGTCCTTATTCTAAGGGGATCTTACTATCTTGGGGTCAATATCAGGGGGTCCTTATTTACGGAAACCCCCATGTGAATGTTGTAGGGGATCGTTCGAGAGAGGTCCTTTGGAGGGATCCGGGCCATCGGGATAAGAGTTTGCTTAGAATGGGAATCTTTACTTAAAGGGGACATACCTTGTGGCTATATTGGGGGGACAGGGAATTTGAACAACCACCCTATACTCGAACCCTAAACCCTAAACCCTAAACCCTAAACCCTAAACCCTAAACCCCTAGTAGGAGTCCTCCTAGCAAGGGGTTTCCCGCAGCCTTCAAGGATGCAGATTACGGTTGATGGCGGAGGAGCCCGGGGGTGTAGATGGTTTCGGGTTTCAGACCTTATTGAGAGGTTTAGGTTGGGGGTTAGAGTTTAGGGTTTAGGGTTTAGGGTTTAGGGTTTAGGGTTTAGGGTTGAATTTTGAAGGTTTTAAGGGTTTAAGACTGATCCTCGCAGGTCGCCCTGAATGAGAAGGAGGAGGCTGGGTGGGGCATGGTGGGGCAGTTCGAAATCGTGGTTCCTGTCTTTTTGGGGCGTTCCATGTGGGAGCGTCTTCCTGACTTCGTCGCCGTTTTGTCTTGAGGTTACCAAAAATTGGGGCCGAACAGCCCCGCCATCAACAGAAGCTCAGCCTAAACCTGAAACCCTAAACCAGAGGGGTTTCGGTTGGTCTTCAGTTTAAAGCATGCCGTCAGTTGTGGAGGGTGCTGGTTCAGGGTGCTTGGTACCATTAAACCCTTTCGTGGGGTACGTAGAGTTCAGGGTTTAAAAAGGGTTTACGGTTAGCCTATAGGTTTCATTGTGACCCCTTTTGCCAAAACCAAGGTACCCTTTATGCCCTGAAACAGACCTTGTATGGGCTTGGCGTAGTTGGGGCCCGCGGTAGGCGAGTATTGCGCAATGACCCGCACTCTAGTATCAGAAGAACGTATAGCAGTTTACTTCTGCAGTGTCCTCCAACCTTTTTTCTCCTGGGTTTAGGCCTTTATAGGCGTCCTCTTCCCATACACAACTCAGCCAGCCCGCCAAAACATAATAGCACTAAACGTTCGTTGGCTGGTAGCTTGACAAGTATCTGGAGAACCCAGGGTGTAGGCCTTCGGAAATTTTGGCTTCCGGAGGCAAACCGTAAGTAGACCTGCCCGAAGATTTTTTTTTTTTGGGGGGGGGGGGGGGGGGGGGGGGGGGGGGGGGGGGAAGGCGGGAGCTGGGCATGCTGAAGGGATGTTTTTTTTTTTTTTTCCCAAATCCCTGTGTGTCTTCCACAAGTTCTGCTTCTGTGCAACTTCTAGTGTACGAGGAAACTGGACAAGTAGCCTCAACCACAAGCCCACAACCCTATAACGTTGTCAATCTCAACCATAGACCCTAAGCCCTGAGCCCTAAGCCCTAAGCCCTAGACCCTAACCCTAAACCCTAAACCCTAAACCCTAAACCCTAAACCCTAAACCCTAAACCCTAAACCCTAAACCCTAAACCCTAAACCCTAAACCCTAAACCCTAAACCACGAACCGAAAGTCCCAGTCCGCGGTCGCCAGCTTCGTTTGGCTCCAACTTGAACTCGCAACTTTCAGTCCTTAAGCATGTATTCGAGTTTAGGGTATAGGGTTTAGGGATCTGGGTTTCGGGTGCCACCATCCCAAGCCACTCTCATCTTGAACAGCCCACACCACCTTGACCGTTTAGGAAGCTATCGGAGTCCCTAGTTGAACGCAGAAACCTCCGACATCAGCTGATCCCAGTGGATGCGTGTGGGCATCACTGTGCGCCATAGCTTCCAGCGCCCGCGGGATTCCCAGGCAGCTGTTATTAGGATTTAGGGTTTACGGTTTAGGGTTTAGGGTTTAGGGTAAGGACCTCTACAAGGTATAGTTAGGTCAGTGTTAGGTTCGAAACCACAACGTGCCAACCTTTCCATGACCCTAAACCCAACGCCCCTAAAGTGAAGCACCCCTGCAAACTCATTAGCAAGAAGAATAACAGCAACAGGAAAAACATCCCTAAACCCTTCACCGTAAAACCCAAGCTCCAAAGCCCGGCGGCGCACGCGGCTGAGAAAGTTATGAGAGCAAGGTGGAGTACCCCCGAAGGGCTTAGGGCTGAATATGCTTCTACTGCGGCCCCTATACTTCTTGAGGGTTTAGGGTTTAGGGTTTAATAGAGTTCTTTATGCGAAAAATACACCCTATCAGCCCTAAACCACTACACTCCCTGACACCTTCTTTGGCAAGTTGTCATGGGCTGACATGTCTGAAGCAATTGTTGCGGACAAGGACACCATGGATTGGCATTCTAAAGGAACAGGCACAAGAAAGCGAACCGTCTTGCAACTGCCTTGCTGAATGATACCAAAGTGGCTACTGTGAGGGATGGCTTTACTATGAAACCTCTCTCCACATTCGTCAGCTCGCAAACGTTCGCGTCAACCGGACGAGGTCACAAGCCGAAGCCCTAAACCCTACCTACGTAAGCCCTAAACCCTAAACCCTAAACCCTAAACCCTAAACCCTATAGTCGCTGAACCCTGCACTTGGCAGCCTATGTGTGCTGCGTCGAGGGCCTGCTCATTCAGAAAAGGGGTTCACTTTATCCGAGAAACCCTAAAACTCCAAACCCTAAACCCTAAGCCCTATAGAACCCCGAACTGTAGAACTGTAGAACTGTAGGGCACCTAAGGAGCACCGCTCCCTGGCCCCCCTACAAGTATCGAAGGGGAGGTTGCTTCATGCCCCTCGTAGTCCGGAAACCCCCGAAGCCCTCAACGCTGAAACCCTGAAACCTGGCGTCCTAAACCCTGAACATTGAGAAGATCTCTTGTCAAAGAAAGCTCTTACGTCATGGGTTCCGCTACTATCTCCGTCTATACTACCCCCCCTAGGTTCCCCCCATACTTAAGGTAATTCAGGGATACTTACATTAAGCCTAAGTAAGGCTATCTAAGGAGGCAACCTAAGGGGGGTAGTGTAGTAGGGGAACCCAGGATTACGGATATTCCACGTAGCGTATGAACCTGGACCAGGTCGGGCTTCGGGCTTTGCAAGGGTTTTCAAGGGTTTTGGGCTTATGGAGTATGGCAGGCGAGATTGGCTTTTGAGATTCTGCTTGGGTTTACAAGGGGGCCCCCACGTATGAATCATGTCCAAAGGGCTTAAGGCCGTCAATCATCCCAAACATGTGTTGAAAAGGGCTTTATAAGGGTTCATGGTAAGGTTATACAGGTGATGTGGGGCTTAGAAAGGTTTATAAGGGTTAAGGGCTTACAAGGGTTATTCAGGTTCCTTCAGGTTTTTAAGGGGTTTGAGGCTTGAGGCCTAAACCCTAAACCCTAAACCCTAAACCCTAAACCCTAAACCCTAAACCCTAAACCCTAAACCCTAAACCCTAAACCCTAAACCCTAAACCCTAAACCCCCTGGGTCCTGAGAGCCTGCGGTTCGAAGGACCACCGGCGCGCGAAGCTGACGTGAGGATGGCAGCTGGCTCCTTGACTTTCTGGGCTCAGAGGAGGGGTTTAGGGTTTCGGGTTTAGGGTTGAGGTTTCAGGGCTCGAGGTTTTAGGGCTTGAGGGTTTTAGGGCTTGAGGGTTTTAAGGTTTGGAGGGGGTTTAGGCCGTTCCTTGCAGCCCGGCCCAGCGTGTGGCGACCAGCCTGACCCCGGGCTTTAGGGGGTTATAGGGTTTTGCACACACACCGGAGCCCTCGGCGCGTGGATGAAGGCATTCTCGTGGCAACGTAAGCTCCCTGAGCGAGCCCCGAGGTGCTGAAACTCTGAAGCCATGCATCGCCAAAAAAGCAAGAACATCATGAAGCCCTACACGTGAAGCCATAGCTCCTGCAGTCTTGAAGCTTGATGAAGCCATGAAGGCCCCATATAAGCCCTAAAGCCCCTTTTGCTGCCACTGCGGAACCATTGGGTAAAGCGTTGTTTTGGTGTCTAAAGGCCCAGGCCCACCCCTAAACCCTAAACCCTAAACCCTAAGCCCACTTTCTGCTTTGATGTGGGCCCGGGCATCGCCCCCACCCTTCCCCCCCCCCCTTTCTCAAGCCCCTACAGGGTGGGGCCCCCTAGTTATAAGTAGAGTTATAAGGGCCCTAAATTGGGTTATAAGGACCCTAAGTCAGGTGAAAGTCCCTTAACTACAGTTAGTATAGTAAGGGGGCCCCACCCTGTAAACCCGACGCCCCGACCGGGGCCCCCCGCCCTTCTTTCCCATTGAGTTCGCGAAGTGTCTCCTTTGCAATTCCACTTACCAGACAAGAAGGGTATCCTTTTCAAATGTTCCCCCCTTTACTGACAGTCCTTCGTACTCCCTAGTACAATCCCTATTAAGGACGGCTACTATCTGGGGGAACATCGCAAGGTACCCTCTTGGTCTAGGGTTCAGGGGTTTGGGGTTTAGAGGTTCAGTGGTTTAGGATCATGTTTACCCCGGTTTTCTAAGGGGGGGCTCTGACCCAGCACGAACTCACGAGCTGCTAGCCTAGATGTGTTGTTTACTCCTGTCGCGTCGGCATATGGTGATCCATGTCTCCAAGTTCGCACCTCTAGCTTCGAGTCCATGCCATGTTGCGGCAATGTTGCGCGTCTGGAGCATTTCTGGGGAAGAGCTAGCTGCAGTGTCTGCCAGCGACGGTTTTGTTAAAGACGTGGTCGGATTGAAGTGCCACTTGCGAAGCCAGCATGGCTTCGCAGTCTGCCGTCAACAGCTCTTACTGGCTGGTCGATGCTTGGGCAATTTGGATCCTCTGGTCGGGCCCGTGGACCTCCAGCTGGTACTGCTCTCCGCCCTCAGCACGGAGCAGATGCCTCAGGCAGAAAACGAGTTTCTAGAGTATGCTGCTGATACAGGCCACGTGGAAGTGGGCCGCGCTCTCCTGGCACTTGGTGTCAACAAGAACTCGCAGAACAAGTCCGGCGTCACCGCTCTCATGCGTGCAGCTCGCGGGGGCCACGTTGGGATTGTGCGTTTGCTGCTGGATGCTCGTGCTGAGATGAACCTGCAAGACAGGTCCGGCCAGACCGCTCTCATGCACGCATGTTCCCAGGGCCACGTCGAGACTGTGCGTTTACTGCTGGTCGCTGGTTTCGACAAGCACGTGCAGCACAGGTCTCTCGCGACCGCTCTCTTGCGCGCATCTTCCGCGGGACACGTCGAGATCGTACATTTGCTGATGGGCGCTGGCGGTCCCCCAGGTCCAACGCCCGCGTAATCCAAGCGAGAGTCGCAGTGATGGCCCGGGGTGAAAACATCCGGCGAGTGCCAGCTTTGTGAGATTCCTTGTTCCCCAAACCCTAACAGCCATTTAGAATTTAGAGTGTAGGAGAGTTCAGGTTTGGGGCTTACAGGGTATATAACCCCAACTTGAAGCCGCCCAAAGCCCGACAAAAGAAATCCTAAACCCAGAAGGGTTGGAAACTTGACTAGTTACTATCATGACCCCCCCCAAACCCTAGTCTAATCATTGGGGCCCCTATATTCGACCCCCTGAACCCTGCGAACAAGTTAGGTGAATTGTTGGAGCAGTTTCGAGTTTGGGGATTCAGGCCTGAATCTCCCCTAACCCCAACACACCTAAACCCCT